CGGATACGGGAGTTCCGCAGCTAAAGGAATCCCGGGGTCCCCCAGAAGCCGTCCAGGGCGGCGGCAGGTCCCGCTGCGGGCACAGCGCCCTGGGGGCTGCCACCGGCGGGGGACACCGGGCTGCCACCGGCGGGGGACACCCTCCCGCCACCGCCGACCCGCCCGCAGCGAGCGCCCGGTGGCATTTGGCCGGGCCCGCTCCGGGGGTACCGGGCTTCCCCCCGCTAGGCTGCCAGGGGCTCTGCGGGAAATAAAAACTCATACCTTTCCTTTTTTTTTTTTTTTTTAGCTGTTTTTTATACTACTTAATGTCAGGGCCTACCCTGCGCTCTCCTCCCTTCACCCGGCCTTGTTTTCCCGTTACCCGGGTCCAAGTAAAATTCATTCCCCCTCTGCCCTTGGTCACGCTCTTTTTTGCCTTGGGTCCAGCGCTAACTTCTGGAATGAGCTTTTTTTATTATTTTTTTTCTCGGTACCGGTGTAAATAGGCTGCCGAGCGGGGAAAGGAAAAGGTAATTATTCTCGTTATCCTTTTCTCCCGGGCGGGAGGCGCAGAGACACGCATCTCCCCAGGAGCCCCGGGGTTAAGATTTAGGATGGGGATTTGTAAAGTTCGTGCTTTCTTTTGCGGTCACTGTTCAACACCGATCGCCTCAGTACAACTTTTTTTTTATTGAAAGGCGATCAAACCCGAGTCTTTCCGATAGCTTTTTGGGGGGAGGAGAAATGAGGGAGAAGGGAATCGGTTCAGCTCTCGGAGCTTTGGGAATTCCCGCCGAGGAGGCAGCTTTAGGGAAAAGTTTTATTATGTCTGAGGAGTCTCCTTGTTTTACGCATAGATGAGGCTGGGGAAAGGGAGGAACTAAAGCGCCAGGGTCCCTTCCTAAATCCTCACATTTGGATTAATTATCGTACTGTCACCCACGCGCTAGGCAACCGCTGCTAATTACTCGGGAACCTCTCCTCCTGGAAGGCAGAGTTACGGCGTGGAACAGGCGTGAAAAACCCGCTCCGCCCCGCCGGGAAGGGAGATAAGCGAAGTCCCCAAAGGTGGCCGGGGGTTCTCCCGTGGGGTTTCCTTGCGGGCGGCGGCCACCGCGGCGGCTCCCCGCCGTGCCACGTGTGACCGTGACCGGGATGTGATCCCAAACCCGGGGAAAGGGGACACACAGACATACAAAAGAGGCGGCCCTTCCCGCTTCTGTCCGGCCCCCCAAGCCTCCGGCGGAACGCGGTTCCGCAACACGGCCCCCCCCCATCCCCACCCGGTACCGAGATACCGGGAGCCGCGGGGTCCGGCACCCACCGGAGCCCCGCTCCCCCTCGCCTTCCCGGGCTGGGGGTGCTCCTGGAGGTAGGCGCTGGTTATGTGGAAAATGGAAAAGAAACGCCGGGGGCTGGTTTCGAGAGGTGGCTTTCCTGGGTTCCTACCTGCCCCCCCCCGTCGCAGCTACTGCAAACCCTCTGTTTTAACCAGCAAGCCCGCTCCCAACTTCTGCAAACAGAGTGAAGGGGCAGGTTCTCCAAACAGACCAAAACGAGAGGTTGTAGCACCGGGACAGTTTAACCTAGAAAAAAAAACATCCAGGGAAAAAAAAAACAAACAACCCCAAGAGCTTCTCCCCCCACCCCAACACCACCCCCCTCCAACCCCAAACCAAACAAACCAGAAAAAAAGAAAACCAGAGGAGGGTTTTCCTCCTGAGCTCCTGAAATGTTGTGCTGGGAGGCACCTGCTCGCCGGGACGCTCGGTGCTGCCCGAGCCGTGAACTGCTGAGAAATTGAGCCCTGAAATACCCCCTGCGTATAAAACAACGCCCTTGGTTTGGTATTAAACATTCAGCATTCGGAAAGGCATTTTTTTAAAGTCGTAATTTTAAAGATCAATTAGGACAGGAACTAAAAAATTCAGATCATTCCTACGCTGCCGATATCTTATTTGCATCTGACCAAAAAAAAGCGCTGAGTTTTATCAAGTATTTGCTAACAACAATTACATCAATAAAAAGAGAGAGTTTTCTCTTCACGTTTCCTTAGAAAAAAATCACTCGCTTGATCTTTAGGATCAGGATATTATTTCAAACTAAAAATGATCATTTCCATGCATTATTTTTTTTCCAAAAAAAAAGAATAATTCTGAGAAAGTTAGAAAATAATACATAATAACTCTAATAAGGTGCCATATAGTGTCATTGTCCAAATGCTGTTAAGAAATAACCTAAATATTAATTTAAAAGGCCAATTTTGTTTGATCAATGCAGCAGAAGTAGGTAATTTAGATACCTGGCAGCGCTGCAACTTTGATACTCTCCTCGATTCTCTGGAAATACATATTTTTAAGAGCTAAAGAGTACAACAAAGTACTAGATAACTCCAGTCAGCAAGTCCCAACTTATCTGTTTAGTCTTTTTTCTAGTGTAAATGTTTGTATTTCTGTTTCTATTGTCTGTGACTTTTAACTCTAGTTTCTTTGCTGTGCTGGGTAATTTTTATACTTGTTTCTCCTATTTTCTTCACGTATCTTATCGCTGAGGTTGCGAAGTCATTTGAAAGCGGTGAGTTAAACTAGTTGTCCTGTAAGAGACAACTGACCCTGGACTCAGAAAGGTTTCTCATCCCTTAAAACGCTAGCATTTATTTCCTTAAATGAACGTGCAAACATTTGCATCACGGGGAGGTGAGGGTAATGCCCCGATTTTCCCCTTTCCCTTTCTTGTGTCTTTAATATATGTGCATGCATTAGGGTTGGAGGGTAACTTTTTAAGAGCTGGGTGAGCCCGTCTGGGTTGGCAGTTGCTGACCCTGTGAGCCAGCGTGCCTCATGACACAATGCCGTGCGAGGCGAAAACTCACGAGCTTCGACATTTCGAGTGGGGACTATTTTATGCCAAGATCAAGGAAATGTGAAGAGTGCAGCCCAGGCCACAGAAACGCATTCCGGCACACAGAGGAGAACAAAAAAAAATCCAACAGCCTGGGCCGCAGAGGAATGGGAAAGAGGAAGTTGAAATAGATGCATAAAGAGGGAATTTTGACGCAGTGATTTTAACTTTGCATGTGGAAGTGAAAATAAGGGTTATTGGTGACAAGTGGGAGAGCACTGAAGTGAGAAACGCAGCCTCCTATAGAACGAGAGGCCGTGAAATACCTGGGACAGGAATCCTCTCTCATATTATGGAAGGTAGCAACGGCTGGGGAATAAGCATCAGAGAGAGACCAAGCGAAGGAGCCGCTGATCCTGTTTGGAAAGAACAAGTGTGGTTAGAAACTAACAGAAATAAGGCCGGGCCACGACGAGTTTCGGCCAATTATAACTGCATGGACATAAGCTAGAAAATGCTAAGAGGAAGGAAAAATATCGAGCTGCAACTCAGGGGACACGATGCAGGACTACTTCCTCTTAGAATGTGTAAAAGAGGAAATAAAAACTAGCTAGATTTTTTTTTTTTCTTTCTCTTTTTTCTTTCTTTTTTTTTTTTTTTTGTTAGTTTTCCCTGAACCCCTCCATTAAGGCTAATAGGTGGCTGCCGGGTTTCCCACAGGGTAGACGAGTTTCGGCCAATTATAACTGCATGGACATAAGCTAGAAAATGCTAAGAGGAAGGAAAAATATCGAGCTGCAACTCAGGGGACACGATGCAGGACTACTTCCTCTTAGAATGTGTAAAAGAGGAAATAAAAACTAGCTAGATTTTTTTTTTTTCTTTCTCTTTTTTCTTTTTTTTTTTTTTTTTTTTGGTAGTAGTCCTGAGGTCACTGTTGTAGGCAATAGGATTTTAAAAAAGTATGATAGAAGACCTAATTCAAGCTCTTTTGCCAGAGTAAATCAAGAGACACAGCAGACATCGTTCAATTACAGCAGGGTAAAATTGTTTTGAGAATTCAGTCCTGCTCGAGAAGACAAGAAAAAATTATTTTTTCATCATTTGAGCAGTGTGATCATTATAGATACAAGTCATAAAATTTAAGGCTAGGAATCTATATATCTCGTTGCACTTTGCATCAGAAATGCAGTGAATCTTGTGTTCCTAAATATTTGTTTGATAGATGGTGGCACCATGGAGCTACAGCACAAACATTTTGGACAAGGTGAAAGGCTCTGTCTGAGCGATTGCAGGTTTCATTAGTTCAGATTGCAATTTCCATCCATCAGGTTGCGGGTGAGGTCTTAAGTCAATGATTTGCTTTCACGCTTCTAAAGGGAAAAAAGAAATTGTTCATTAAGTTGCGATTAAACATTGAATTGAGGCCTGCTTTTCCATGCACTTATTCTCAATTTATGCTGGGACAGCTCTGCTTAGAGCAGTGGGAGGAAAAGATAGGGAACTGGTGCAGCTGTGGGGACCCTGACTCTCTGCATCCGTGAGATGATTGGCATGGTTTTGTTTTCTCTTGAATTTTACATTTCCATCATTGTGCTGACATTGCTGTAGCTTAAAAGTAATGCTACTGGTATAAATCAGACCAGAATCGGTTCCTGCTGCTTGAATTTATTTATTGGCAATTGCAGAAGTATATTTTGGAATGCTTATTTTGTGTATTTTTCATGTTGGAGAACACATTATGCCGTGTACTTCAGACGTGCATCAGTGTAAGAACTTTTCCATAGCTCTACATGGAAGCGATTCCTGTTTTCCTCAAACGGCTTCTTAGTCTACATAGATTTTTACTGTTGCTTTTTCCTAGTTTGTCATGTTACTTGTTGATGTTGTGCACCCGAAAATAAGCGTCACATAAGGGAGCTGAGGATTCTGCTCTTTCGTTTCATAGGTGGTGGCCTTGGGAGATGTGCCCGATGGAACACTGGTGACGGTGATGGCTGGAAACGATGAAAACTACTCTGCAGAACTCAGAAACGCCACAGCTGCCATGAAAAACCAAGTAGCAAGGTTCAACGACCTCCGATTTGTGGGAAGAAGTGGAAGAGGTATGTGTTTGCTATCAGCTACTGTGGTCACGTTCCTCCGTTATGTCAAGTTCTGGTTACGTGGAGGGGATTTGAAGGCACTGTCTATCGAGTTCTCTGCAGCAGGGAATGCTGCAGGATCTGGCATAGGCCACTCCAAAAGGCACAGAATTAGCTAGATGGTTTTCTTGCTTTATCCTAGCCTGTCCTCTGTGTGACTTCAGTTTTTAAACAGTGACATCTCCTTTGAAAAAGAAAAATCACATAGACAGCAAGTCACATTTTGACTCCAGAAGCCACGCTGTCAAATTTAAAACAGTAGAGTATTACCTATGTTTAAGTTTAAATACTGTATTTGCAATTTAAAATGACAATTTTCAGCTTGTGTAAAGACGACTCATGACTGTCTCGAGTCTCCCAGGTACACTGCAAAAGCTGGTCCCTGTAACAGAGCAAGACAACCTAAAATTACAAGTAATTCCTGCATAGATCTAAAAATTTTCTGGTTGTGTCATGGCCCGGTAAAGGCATAGGGCACTTTTTTTGACCTTTCTTTCTCTGGCATTGATACAGAACAGTATGCAGTAGCCCTGTTACCTAAGGTGCTCCTGCAAGGTGCGTAGGATAGGACAGAACAGACGAGCTTAATGCCTGACGTGCTGTATCTCCTAGATAACCAGTCATTACTAGTACATAGTAAATAAAAAGGCGTTACGAGTGTAAGTCACAAATTGGAGTCGAAGCTGACTTAGGCTAGAACTATAGAAAAAAGTTGTTAGGAAGCTGCAATTAGTATCTGACCCGCGCGGCGCATGTGAGTGGGCAGGTGCACAAAACTCCATCCAAATGCCCGTAAAATCAACAGAAGGACCCTTCGCAACTTCACTCTTTGGCTCCGGTCCATAATTTTAGACCCCATAAATTCCAAGCAATCCTGTTTACCTTTCTATTACGAGATTATTTTAAGCGCCCCTCTTGCATTACTGCCCTTGTTGCTGGGAGTGGAGTCCCTTTTGTGTGGGTCGGGGCCGGGGCGGGGGGGCATTCAGCCAAACCCACAGAAGAGAAGCTGGTGAGCTCTTGCTCAGAAAAAGCTTGGGGAAAAGATCAGCCTCTCGCTTTTAAGGTCAAGAATGAAAATCTGTCACATCTTCCGTGTGACTTTGTGTGATATTTATTTGCGTGTTTTTGTTCTGTTTGGTTCGTATCTTTAAGTAAAATCAGATGTAACTTTATGGTGTTCTAAACACAGCAGTGTTATTTAGGGACAATTCAGTGCTGTAACACTCACAAATCAAAATTACAGCGTCTGCTGCACTTACGTCGGCTTCTGTATACTACCTTTTTGAGCAATTTGTGCGCTGGTGCCTCTCTGAACCAGATTAAATACTCGGGGCTCGCTGAGCCCTTCTCACTGTTCTCCCCTCCCTCTCTCCCCGTGTGAGCACCTGAGCCATCTCCTGATGCGTGGTGGCACGCGTGGTTCTGAGGAGCACGGATGGAATTATGAGCATGCTTCAGGAGAGTTACAAAGGTGACCCACTTCTGCTCGCTCGCTCTCAAACTGTTTCGTTCCAAATGGGAGATGGGTCAGGCTTCAGACCGAGGAAGTTACCCTGATTATACACAACAGCCTTCCCTCGCCTTTGAAGTTAAATGCATCTGTAGATATTCTTCCAGTGTAAATACAGTCAGCAATTTTGGAAGAGCATGGCCCTGTTGAAACATGGGTGCAAGCAGGAAATAAATTTTAAGAATGAAACACCGATTCGTTCCCTCTGTATCTTGCAGCATTTTTAGCTGAGAATACAGAGGGAGACGTCTTTCCGAGCGTGTTGTTTGGGCTGTCTTCAAAATGCACTTGGTGGAAAACACCCGCAGCTGAGAACGTAGCTTCGTAATGCTAGCAAAGAATAATCATAGGGTAATGCAGAGAAAATTATATCCATTTACTGAAAACATGAGAGATGCTGTAATGTCTAAAAGTATCAGTCATTAAACATGTTCATTTGTTATATTAAAGGTACCACCTTTTCAGTAAATGGAATTTGCATTATGATTCAGAGATGACTGTTTAGAAGATTCAAATGAATAGCTGGCAAAGTGGCGGAGAAGCTAATAAAAACAAACCTGTAGTTCAGTTCCTGGCCATGGTAATGAAGCTAGAAATCATAACAGTGAACTGTGTGAGTTTCAAGGTCAAAATCCAGCAGCTGAGAGAGAACAGTCCCTATTCATGCACAGGAGCTCGGCGGGGAGCGTCGTTGAGCCCCTTACCCCGCCAGAAGCGGTTGCTGGTAGCCAGTCACTCACACAGGGACACAAACCTTGTGTGTCGTGTGATATTCAGGTGCTCGGGCTCCTGTAAGCCATGGAGTGGTTTGGGAAGGGAGCGCTGCGTGCTTATTAGTCAGTCTTGGAGGTTAAATCTCATCACCTCCATTGGCTGCCCATCTTTGGAGCGAGTGACTAATGTATGCTTTTGTTTACTCCTCGAACAGGGGATTGTTTTCCAAAGGTGGGGATTGTTTGCATTTGGTATGGGATTTCTGAGGTGCTGTTCTGTTGAATTTGTATAAAGCCTAAAGCGTACGGCAGCTGCTTCAAAGGGCATTGCTTCCTTTGATACTTTGCTAGAGGAAAATTAACCGAAACTTTGTTTGCTGTGAAATATTTGAGTTTGAATAAGTTCAGTTGCCACCAGTGATAATGCGATGCCAGGAGTATTATGTGAACAATGATTGAAAGTTCACGGTTTGGTTAGTTATGAGGCTCTTTGTATACCTCAGGTGATTTAAAATCCCTGTAGGAGGGTAAGGAACAGCTTCTACCCGTGACAGTTCCCTTTGCATCGGTCATTGCCCAGGTGTAACCAGCCCCATGAAAAGCCTTGCTGAACCGATGGCAAGGCACCGCTCTCTCCCTTCTAAGGGAGCAGGAAATTGTCATTCTTGACATTCCTAATAAGTAGTTTAAATTTTCTTCCGTGGGCTTTCTATGAAATCTAGCAAGGCAGTCTGACGGCTGTTTCAATTGTAAGACTGTTTCCACACTATGTCCACGTTTTCATCTCAGTAAATACGTGGCTCTGTGCTGACTGTGAGAGAGTTACAGTGATTCCCCCCAATTTGGGGGCCTGATCACACCTGTCAATCCCAGTGGAGGCGCCAACCAAATATTGGCCTTAAAGAACTGAATTGCATTTCAGCATTCATTTCGTATCTAACATCAAGCGGTTGTACCGTGCTGCTCTGCCTGTGCCTGTTGTCCAGAATTGCAAAAAAAACCAAAAAAAAAACCAAACCAAAACAAACCTAAACACTTGGTTTTCTTGACACCTAGAATTGGAGCTGAGAATATCGCAGGTTCGCCTGAAACATTGAGATGTTGTATAAAAGCAATTTGGCTCACTTTCCCGAACAAAACAGATTTACATTGGAATTGGCTGGGCTCCAGAGTTACTATTCCTCACCCTAGTTTGAGAATGCTACTGGGAAAACCTGCCCGTCTGGCTTGTAAGGCCGAGTAAGTAATTTCTGAAAGAAAAATGTAGTTTAAAACTTCAGCCAACCTCAGACCCTCTTGCCTGATTACCTGGTTAAAAAAAAATTAATCTTTATTTTTCTCCCTCCGTTCACAAACACTTCAAACTTCAAAATGCTACTACTGCAAAGCACCCTGTTTTATTAATGTATAATGGACCAGTTTAGGTTACCATGATGAAATAAATCTGATGCAAAAAGCCTGACACCATAGAATTTCATTGGATAAAATTAAAAATAAATAGTTATTTTGGAGAGGGAAAGCTTCGTGGCTCGGTGAGCATTACATATTTTCCTCATGGAATCATTAATCCCAGTAACTATCTTCTTTGTAGAACGTAACATTAAAAAAACCCCCAACAAATAAACATGTTTTCCAGATGAAAATAATTATTAATAGGTTATCATAATAGTAGCTAATGGGTAAGTGTCTTGGCTTGCTGCAGAAGATCTCAATCTAAAGCTGAGAGCTGGAGCTTTGTTATAGCTTTCCAGCAAGGCCTTTTTAAAAACTGCATCTTGGAAAGGACTGAGTATGAAGCCTACGTATGTATTTCCTACCAGCTATCAGGATTAAAGTAATGAATAAATTTTGCAATAGTTTTCAATTTCTGCAGAGCCAAAGAAGTACTCCCTTTTCGCAGGTGTAGCTGGTAGGAGAACACGAGAGAGAGAGATTACCAAGCATAATCAGAAATTTCTGCCATCAGGACTGTTCCTTCTGGATATAATTTTGGGGCAGAAAAATCAGTTGAAGCTGGAAACTCAAAAATACTTAAAACCCAGAAATTACTGGCCTGAATTCTGAGTCCAATTATTTTTATTGGTCTTCTGAAGTCAGAATTTTGCTCCTTCTGTGCAGCTTCAGCTTGTGGTTGCGTTATTTGAGCACTTTGTTGAAATTTGTTTTATTTTTTTAACTTAAACGCATTCAGAATTATAAAAGTATGTGCAAAACAGAGGAGGATGCTATTCAACAGGGTCGTAAAATCAGTATTAAGCAGCCGGCCGGGTGCTGGTCCAAGCCATTGGAATGCTTCAGGGGACACAGTATCAGATACTGGAGTAACAATGAGCCGCCCTTGCCAGACGGGACGAAAATAGAAGAAATCCAACAGCAATCAAAACCCAAAAAAAAAAAAAAAAAAAAAGAGTCAATTGATAGAGTTCAAAAAACAATTGCTTATTTATGCTTCGGATGGATAAGTGTCTGGTGCTAGCGGGGTGCCACGGCCAGCGGGAGGGTGGTTTGGCCGTGGAGAAGCAGGCAGCTCCTTTGAGCCATCCTGCAGCCCTGCCACCACGCCGGGCATGGACACGGCTGGCACGGCCCGTGGGGTGGGAGAGCTGGGCATCTGCAAAGCTGCTCGGCCGTGGGTTGCCACTGTTGGTCCTGCCAGGAAGGGTGCTGGCCCTGGGTGCACATTCAAGGGTCGACGCTTGTCACAGGACTGTTCTGCCCCCCCACCCCCAAATCTG